CCCCTGTGGAGCACCAGTGTTCAGTGTGACGGGGGATGAGGTGATGCTGCCCAGTCTGACCACTTGGCGTCTGTCAGACAGGAAGCTAAGGATCCAGCTGCAGAGGGAGCTGCTCAGTCCTAGATCCTGCAGTTTCCTGTCCAGCTTCGAGGGAACGATGGTATTGAATGCTGAGCTGTAATCTACAAACAGCATTCTCATATACGTGTCTCTCTTCTCCAGGTGTGACAGGGCAGTATGTAGTGTCAGGGCTATGGCATCATCAGTGGACCTGTTGTGGCGGTATGCGAACTGTAGAGGGTCCAGTGAGTCGGGTAGTGCAGAGCAGATGAAGTCCCTGACCAGCTTCTCGAAGCATTTGCTTACGATGGGGGTCAGGGCTACAGGTCGCCAGTCGTTCAGTGAGGAGATGGTGGAGGATTTGGGTACAGGGTCGGCGGTGGCCATTTTGAAGCAGGCTGGGACTACAGACAGAGAGAGGGAAAGGTTGAAGATGTGCGTGAACACTCCAGCCAGCTGAGCCGCGCATGACTTGAGGACGCGGCCGGGAATCCCGTCCGGACCAGTAGCTTTGCGTGCGTTCACCTTCCTGAAGCACTTCCGCACATCCTCCTCAGACACAGTGTGCGCACTGACGTCATCCGCGGTGCGCACACTGTCCGGTCTCATGGTGTTCGCTGTGTCGAATCTAGCGTAGAATACGTTTAGATCCTCACACAGAGAGGCCGTGGTGTGCGGTGTGCTGGTTTTCCCTCTAAAGTCTGTGATCGTGTTTAGTCCCTGCCACATACTCCGAGGGTTGTCAAACTGTTGCTCCACCCTGTCCCTGTACTCACGTTTGGCTGCTTTGATCGTCTTCCGGAGTTGGTAATGTGCGTGTTTGTAGTCCGATGTGTTCGCGGAGGCAAAGGCGGTGCTCCGTGCCGCCAGTGCCGCGCGAACATCTCCGTTAATCCAGGGTTTTTGATTTGGGAAGGATTTAACTGTTCTGGATGGATTAAACTGTTGCTACGTTCTACTACGTTCTACTAACTTGATGGTTTCCACTGTTTCACACGTTATCTTTTAATAGTCTCGGCGGCCGTGTATTGATGATGAGGATTGATTATTCATTTAAGAAGGGTGAGCACTTTGCTCTGGATTTCGATTGACCTTCACCGCTTGAAGATCAGTGCATAATCTTGAACAAAAGTACAGCATTGGTGTAATGTTCTGCCCTTGTTAGTCCATCAAACAAGGAAACTGTGACCTTTTCTCAGGCCTGTGATTAAGCAAAGATCAACCATGCTGCAATTTTGGCAACATCACAGACAATATGAGCCATCTGAGGCTGTAATCCACCCAGCTGACAGTATTTTACGTGCCAATTATAAACTGATTTAACTGCACGACATCAACCCACTGGTTAACTGGCCACTTCATTATGTACACTCGTTCAACTGCTCATTAAAGCAAATATCTAATTAGCCAAACATGAGCCACAAACTAAAAATATTTAGGCATGTAGACATGGTCACGAGGGTGTGCTGACTGGTGACTTTGAATGTGACATGTGTTAGTGGCAGACAGGCTGCTTGAGTAGAAACTGCTCATCTGCTAAGACATTCAAAACATTCATGTCTAGGTTTTAAAGGGAGAGTGCCAAAAAAGAAAATACCCACTGAGTGAAAATTTAGGAGCAAAATAAATTGCAGATGGGCGAGAGCAGAGAAGCGTGGTCAGACTTGTTTTGAGGTAATAGATCAGTAAAAAAAAGTCAACTCTTTACCAGCAAGGTATGACAAAAGAGCATCTTAGTATATCAAACCTAGAAGCAAGATGGATCCATCCTGTCCTGTAGCAATTTAGGGTGCTGGCACAGAAAGCAGTATTTCCAGGCACCCTGTGTACCAGCCGTGAGGCATTAATATGCCAAAGCTTCCTGTGTATCAGTGTTGACCATATCTATCCCCTTTTCAGAAGGATACCATCTCACAAAGCTCATATCGTACACCGATCAGCCATAACATTATGATCACTGGCAATAACACTGATTATCTCTTCATCGTGGCACCTGTTAGTGGGTGGAATAAATCAGGGAGCAAATGAACATTCTGTCCTCAAAGTTGATGTGATGAAGAAATGGGCAAGCGCATCTAAATACGGTCATTTCTAGCTCCAAAAACCCAATACGGTGGTGGCCAAATAGCTTTGAGTTTAAGGGGTTTCCTTAACCTATATGTGATGGTATATTACCTAAATCTATCTTTTATATACAGTCTATAAGTAGAATAGCGGATTTGCATGATGGCAGTGCTGCCCATAAATCTACAGCATTAGGACAGTTATTAAGCTAGAAAAGGGGTTTCTATTCAACAAAAGCAAGGTGTATGTGTAGGTATATGTAATAAAGTGACCCTGCAGCTAAAGTAAACGGATCCCATCTTACTCCTGTAATGTTGTAAATGTAGCAGCAAATCTATCAAATTTCCAATCACAGGTGAAAAATAGGCCTAAAGCAGAAGCGATACCATCAGCTACACTTTAGCAATGGCACGAAATGTCTGCTTTGTTTTTTATGGCTGATCCAAAGTGAATCAATAAAAATTATTCTGGACGAGTTCCATATGTCAGTGCCGTCAAGTTAAAACAACACTTTTCACCATGGGTCCAGGTTCATCGTTTAAACATGCTGGAAATCCAGCTTCCCCCAGTGAACCTTTCTTTCTCTCCCTGTATAACTGCATTGCTGTCAATCATGGCTGAACATTTATGATTGACAGTATTAGACGCCTACTTATTATAGGCATATAATAAAAAGAAAATCTCATTTTCTGCAAGGTGAAACTTTAAAAGTGCGACAGTTCCTAAAGCTCCATTGTTTACCTCACACGACTTGTCAAAACTAAAGGAAGAAGAGTTGCGTCTAGGCTTCATTTTTGGATGGTCAACCAGCCTCGGCTGATGCTGATATCAGAGTAAACAGACTTCTGTTTTCATTAATGAGCCAAAAACATGGTGGTCACTCAAATGGAAAAGGAGGCTATTCAGTTAGAGTTTCCATCTGTTGTGCTGCTGCTGCTGCACTTTTGTTTAACTGATGGAGCAGTTCCTGAACTGCGCATATACAGTACATGCTGATAAAGAATGCATAGCTACCTGCATTATTAAACAGCCACATAAGGCATTCATGAATATCAAATGCTCAATATAAATATTTAGATGGTAGCTTGGTAGTGAACGGTTCCCTTCATTGTTTGGTGTGTTGATGGGTGGTCACAGAGTTGTGGCAAATTGAGTTTAAATAGGTGTTTACCAGTTCAGCCGAGGGGTCCTGTGCTGCTTTTGAAGAGATCAGAAGTGACTCATGAATATATTAGTCACTTCTGACTAAGTGATAGCGGCAGATTATTTCTGTCGCTATAACCGGTTTAATAACGGTCATATGTGCATATTTTTCTTAGATTTGTATCTTTTTTTGCCCAATCTGGACACAATTTTTATTATATGCTATTTGGATTGGAAAGCTCAAATTTCATGAGATCTCACTGTTTTGGGGACGCCTCCGGCTCATGCTTGGTGGTGTGCAATAACCTAACTGTCTTCTGTTTTCCATTTTGCCTTTGCAGAGGTCTCAATATGGCCTGACTGAAAGTAGGCAATGTGAGATCACTAATTGGTTTCCGGACTCTACATTTTTATACCTTAACATTTTTGTTTTGGCTGCTGTACCACAGGGTAGAGTGGCTGCTTATCAACTAATGCTAGCAGGCTTGGTTAGCAAACTGCATCCATAAATTGCACTGGTGCCAAGTGCAAACACAGAAACCTGCTATTTAGTGCCAACTACCAAACTAAAACAAAAACGAAAAACTGGAGAGCAGAATATTCTGGAGAATAGAATATTTTAACAAAAGCTGTTTGAAAAAAGAATATTTCAAACAGCTGGCAGCACATCTGGTGGCTAGAATTGTTGCCTCACAGTAAGAAGGTTCTGGTTTGAATCCACCTCTGTGTGGAGTTTGCATGTTCTGCCTTCATGGGTTCTCCCTGGATACTCCCACAGTCCAAAAACATGCACGGAGTTGGGTTAGCTGGTGATTCTAAAGTGACCACAGATGTACATATGAGTGTGAATTATAGTCTCTCTGTGTTAGCCATGCGGCAGACTGGTGAACCCTGCCTCTTGACCTAGCCGGGATAGGCTCCATCCTATGGTGAATTGGATAAGCAGATGAAAATGAATGGATGTTCCAAAAAGGCACAAACACAGTTGAGAGGTCGAGCTCTATGATGGGAATTAACAGAACGGAGGCTGGAGATAGCAAGCAGAGTCTATTAAAGCAGCCACAGCCTTAAATATAAGCTTTAACAGTGTCCAGCCTGGTGAATTGTGAAAAACAACCACCCCCATACAACCAGCAAATTAGCTATAGAAACCAAAACTGTTATTCATACAAGACTGTACGCATGCTAATCTAAAGGCTATAGTTGGGTATTTTGACGTGAGAGTGTCTGGGAACTGACTCGCTTTTGAAACCAGCCTTGAGTGGCCACAGATGAACTGTCATTTTGGCCACTCTGGCTTCATTTAGCTGCCCTGGAAGTTGTTGCCTGGTCTAGTATGTGAGAGAGTGCAAAACCTCATGGTGTTCACCTGTCGAGTGGGGAGAGAAAAGGTAGGAGGGAGTGTTAAGAAAAATCCCTTACAATAAACTTGTCTCTGGAAATGGCTGCCCCTCCCTGTTCTGGTAGGTTCCTCCTGTTAAAGGAAGTCTTTCCTCCCTACTGTTGCCAAGGTGTCGTCTGATTGTTGCTGTCTTTTTCTCTATTATTATTGTAGGGTCTTTAACTTACAATATAAAGCCCCTTAAGGCGACTGTTGTTATTTGACAATATATACAAATAAAATGGAAGTGGATATACAGATAATAAGATAATAAATATCTGTATTTTACAGTTTACACCTTCATTTCCCAAAATATTCCCCATTCATAAAATTGAAGCTCTGAAGTTCTTACTTGACTTCGCTCTCCTGAATCCTCTCCTCATCCAGGTCTTCGATAAACTTCTCCCCCTTCATCCAATAGATGAGTGGACTGACGTCTCCGCTGTATCCAAAGAACGCTCTGCACGTCAAGTTAACCGGACTTCCTGTGGGAGACGAGAGAAGGAGTCACCTGATAAAAATGTTACAAATGTTAGCCCTGAGATACTGATGACTGTCGAAGGGTCTGCCCTAGACAGTGTCCTCTAAATAAGTAAATAAGTACATAAATAAATAAAAATAAGAGATCAGAGTGTTCCTTTCCAAATATGGTGGATAGAAATAGCCACAAGATATGATATCTGATGCCTGACTTACAGAACCTATTCTCTCCTTTTCACCCTCCGAAACACTCCACGACAGCCTTGCTATCCCATCAGTTCCTAAACTGTTCCTCACTCTCCTGAGGTGCCATCTTAAACCAGACTCAACCGTTTTTAAATTCCCCGACACCCTCTTAAACTTATAAACGCGCTCTTGAACCCTCTTTCATGCCAACTTTGTAACACCACTGTACCTTCACAAAAGCTCTTTACCCTCCTCCAAAGCTCCCTTCTCTGTCAGATCCCACTTTTACATTTACATCGCTGTATTTTGCAGGAAGTATTTTGGAAATGTTTAAACACCACAGTGCGGTACGGCTGTTAAGGAGGAGGTGGCTTGTGCTGGTAATGAATGCAAAACTCACAATTCAAACCGCACAGCCTAAGCAGGAGTTCAAATTGCACATTATCGACTCAGTTATACTTGTATTGCTGCGATAAGAGGATATGCCCTTATGGGTCTGTGGAAGCAGACTGTGCCTAAGTCAGCCTTCATTCATACTTCATACAACTAACATGCAGCTTTCGGTGTGAATCAGAAAATAAAAGGTGTTTATTCTCTCTGGCAAAAATCCGTGCTACAGCGCAGTGGCTTGATTGCACCCAAATTCCTTTTTAAGTGCTCAGCAGTGCACGGTAATGGTGGTTGTTTCATAACCATTATCACCATTTGGGTGCAAGCAACTTCCAAGAAGTGAAAACCTGTGAATTACTGCCAGACAACCTAACCTATCAAGACTGGAAGAGGTTGGCCCTGTTAGATACCATGGTCAAAAAAACAAAAACAAACTTGTGCTTTAAAAGATGCCAAAAATCAACTTTGAAAGAGCAAAAGCACCGACTGACAGAACGAATGTTTAAAGGGGCCTGCACATAAGTTTAGAGATAAAGCTTTACATACAAATTAATGCATGAAGTGGAAGTGGCCTTACTTTTATCACCTAGGAACAATAATCTCATTATGAGGGCTGTCAGTGAGCCCGCTGTCATTCCAAGGGCATCAGATGCTTAGCCAAAGCTGCTGGCATCTCAAAGAAGTGGTGATAACACTGAAACCTGCCTCACTTCCAGCTCCATATGAATGCTTGGATGAGACACCTTGTCATTACACTGAAACGCATTGGGTACTCTTAAGCATCTTCTTTCCAGTATGCAATCTTATCGATAAAAAGGGTATTTTTGACCACAGAGGACCACAAGCCATTTCACTCCTACTGCTGGTTGCAAGATAAATGGAGCAGGGTTGTGTCATGAAGGCCTGAGTTAACACTGACCACCACTGGTGGTGTTGATTAGCTGGGTGCTGCGGGGGTCATCTTAGGGGGTCATTGTATTGTTGGGGTTTCCTTCTTATTGTTGTAGGGTCTTTTTATTACAATATACTCTTCTTGTGATTTGGTGCTACATTAAAAAAAAAACTCTTTCTTACATGGGTATTCTAACATAACGGCTTAGAGCTTAAGGAGTTAAATATCTTAAAATGCTGACCAACTGGGAAATGAAATAAATCCATATCCATAAGAACCAAAGCTGTAGAAAGCACAAAAATTGAAGCACATGTAAAAGTTTAACAAGGCTGAAAACAGGAAGAGAATGCTTCCAACACCTCAGGTAATTTTTCTGTACAAACAGGCAGCGTGATATACAGATCGACTTCCTGGGATGATCAGGGTCACGCACAGAAGACCCATATCAAGCCTCGTCTTTCACATCAGCAGGAGTTCCTCTCTCTGCATCGCTTCATTTTCTACATCCTCTGTGACTGGAAGCAGATAAACCACTTTAAAACCCGTTTTCTCTTCTCTGCTCGGGATTAGAGACCTCTCACTCTTCTTTCACGCTAATCATATGTATGCCGCAACCGACGGCATATCCGTGAATCAGTGCCCTGTGCTGCCGGGGGGGGGGGGGGGGGAAGAAGAACCACCTCATCAAAGTTGGAGAATGACTCTAATGCATAAAAAAGTGGCAGCTGATCAAGGAGGCTCCACCAGTTGTGTGTCCAGGAAGGCAAAAAGGTGATTCAGCATCTCTTCATTAGCTCTCCGTGCTCATTGGCCTGTGGCGAGGACTCAGAAGTCTGTGAGATGGGAGATAACTGTGGCGTATAATTGGGTACTTGCTAGTTCAAAGATAAAGGGATTTTATTTTACCAAGGCCTGCTCTAATTTGGCCCTCTAGTGCAGTCTAGTGCACTGAGATGATAGCTAAAGCGTTAACAGGGAAAATCTGGCTTGGAGATGCAGAAAAGGCCCTGAATTTGAGGTGTGTGTGTGTGCGTGTGTGGAGGCTGGGAGGAGGCAGTTTTGCATTTTGTCTCACGGCTCAAAAAAAAGAAAAAAAAGAAAAAAGAAAAGTTGTCCACAGCTGAAAGATAAGGCTTGTGTGTGCGTGTGTGTGAGAGAGAGTGCGAAAATGAAAGAGACAGAGAAAATGAGTTTTGGGGATGGTGGGATCTGTCCTGGACCACACAGACACACACACGCACACACTTTCAGACACATTGCAACACTTCTCAATTCCACTAGGGGTCTCTGTGGTGTTACAAAGGAGGCGGGCTGGTGTGTGCAGTAGCAGCAAATAAAACAACAAAAACAAGAAAAAAAAGACCCTAAACACACCATTTTGACAGGTGCAGAGAACAGTAAAAGGAAACACGGTTCCTCTCTTTCTTTTTTTTGCCACCTTTGATGTCAAGAGGCTTCACCCATAGATTCGAACAGCATATTGTGTTGTAGCGTCGACAGCTAGACTGCTGTGCAGACACCAGTCACAGTGTCATTCTCTAAGACTCACTCCAAGGGAGCTCCTCGTGCATATGGCTGCGTGTTATTCCCTTAACGATGCCGTGCTAATTTGTGCCGGTGTAGTTGCGAGCAGCTAAAGGCTGCAGAGAAGGAAGTAATGTGCTCAGTCTGGGAAATGCACAAATGGCCATGCAGGGATTTAAGCTTACTGATTTTAACATTCAAATCCCAACCTCTGGTCTTGGTCAGGGGGGTAAAGTGAGTCTTAATGCGATTGTCTCTCCTCTCTTATCTCTCTGAGCCTCCAGAGCATCTCTCTCAGTCGCTGTGGCTGCAGGACGGAGACGTCAGCAAAGATTCCCGTGGCAAAGGAGACAGACTTGAAGCTGTGGAAGCGTGAGTTGCCAAAGAAGAATACAGGGAAAAGGAGCGGGGATGTATGCATTTCTACATCTCTGACATTAAAGAAAGTGGAAATATGAGGAAAAAAGACAGCTAGAAAAAGTTTGAAAGAGGAATCCCACACATGGGAGAACTGAAAGACTTCCTACACTGAGTGAATAGAGCATTGTACTGCCCTTGTGTGCTGACGATTACACATCACTACATCTGCATGCAGTGCGTGCACCATCCATGTCGACTTAATCTACCAGCGTTTCCCATTCAGATCCTAACAATCAAGCTCTTGAGTAGGGAAGCCTTTGTTTTCTTTATTCCTTCGCTTTTAACAGCCTTGAATAAATTGCAGCTAGCGGTAAAATACTTCAGAGGGAAGAGGCTAAGCTTTTCAGTACTCGTGATCTGAACAGCACTGAAGACGCGTACGGCATACAGAAGGTTTAATGTTTGTGGCGAGATGAAAAGCCATTTGGAAGCTTGCAATTTAAGACAACATTATACATAAACAGCAAATTTTCAAATTACTGCTAATACACACAGGTTTTAGATCTTGGCAAAATTGCTTTAATGCAATATTTATGTTAACAGAAATCAGCTGCAGTAGGAAAGACTGCTTCAAGATTTGAAGCTAATTCATGAATTCTGAGTGGCAACAATAACAACAACTTCTTGCAAAGTGTGCTCAGCAGGTTGATGGTCATAAAGTGGGGCCTTCCTGTGCAGAGTTTACATGTGCCCTCTGTGCCTGAGTGGGCACTCCCACAGTCCAAAGACATGCATGTTAGGCAAACTGCTGACTCTAAACTGGCCATGGACGTGAGTTAGAAAAACGTGCTTGAAGTGAAAACACAAAAGTGCTGCTCGAATGTAAAATATGACTCAGAAGTTAAGCCTAAGACAGACTAGAAAAGCACTAAATGACTGGAAGCACATAACATCACCAACAACATCTTTGCAAAATGTCAGGGTGTTATTTTGACTTTAGTGGAAATTTCTTTTCTCCCCAGTTTCTCTGGTTGCTGACTTGTTCTCTCTGCTCTGATGAATTCACCTTCAATGCAACTCAACATAAAATAACTTGAAGATTGCCCCGCGGAGGAGAAGGATAGAAGGACAGTTATCTTGACTGAGAAAAAGGCCAGAAATTGAATAAGCTGATAATTGATGGGGTTTTCCCAGATTCAGCAGGCCTATGTTCATGAGAATGATCTTTCACCGAACTTCCACATTCTAGCGTTCCCGGCATCATTTTTTTAAACACACTGGGTACCCGTTATGGTCCAGGCTAGTCTGACTTCAATAGAAGCACTATACCATGACACTGGGTAGGACTTGAGTATGTGGCTACCGAAAAAATGGAGAAGTTTGTTGTGGAGGGGAAACCATGAAAGGGACATAGTGTGTTAAAATTAGGACGCCAAGTGGTCCTGGTCAAACATCCATTTGTGGCCAGTCGGGAGTAGAAGCTCTGAAAACTTTAAGCATTGCCTTCATCATCTGCTCGAGTGCTGTGTTCAGGCAGTAAAGGGTTACAGTAGTGACAGAGGCCTGTAATTGCGGCGGCTGGGTACCCACTCACATCAGCGTTGCCAGATGTGGCGGTTTAATTGTCTCTCTGTTCAGCATTCACTTTGCTTT